AGAGAGAGACCAGAGAGAGACTAGAGAGAGAACAGAGAGAGAACAGAGAGAGATCAGAGAGAGATCAGAGAGAGAGAGACCAGAGAGAGAGACCAGAAAGAGAGACCAGAGAGAGAGACCAGAGAGAGACCAGAGAGTGAGACCAGAGAGAGACCAGAGAGAGAGACCAGAGAGAGACCAGAGAGAGAGACCGGAGAGAGAGACCGGAGAGAGAGACCGGAGAGAGAGACCAGAGAGAGAGACCAGAGAGAGAGACCAGAGGAGAGACCAGAGAGAGAGACCGGAGAGAGAGACCAGAGAGAGAGACCAGAGAGAGACCAGAGAGAGAGACCGGAGAGAGAGACCAGAGAGAGAGACCAGAGAGAGAGACCGAGAGAGAGAGACCAGAGAGAGAGACCAGAGAGAGAGACCAGAGAGAGAGACCAGAGAGAGAGACCGGAGAGAGAGACCGGAGAGAGAGTCCGGAGAGAGAGACCGGAGAGAGAGACCAGAGAGAGAGACCAGACAGAGAGACCAGAGAGAGACCAGAGAGAGACCAGAGAGTGAGACCAGAGTGAGACCAGAGAGAGACCAGAGAGAGAGAACAGAGAGAGACCAGAGAGAGACCAGAGAGAGACCAGAGAGAGACTAGAGAGAGAGAACAGAGAGAGATCAGAGAGAGAGAGACCAGAAAGAGAGACCAGAGAGAGAGACCAGAGAGAGACCAGAGAGAGAACAGAGAGAGAACAGAGAGAGATCAGAGAGAGAGAGATCAGAGAGAGAGAGACCAGAGAGAGAGACCAGAAAGAGAGACCAGAAAGAGAGACCAGAGAGAGAGACCAGAGAGAGACCAGAGAGTGAGACCAGAGAGAGACCAGAGAGAGAGACCAGAGAGAGAGACCAGAGAGAGACCAGAGAGAGACTAGAGAGAGACCAGAGAGAGACCAGAGAGAGAGAACAGAGAGAGACCACAGAAAGAGACCAGAGAGAGAGACCAGAGAGAGAGACCAGAGAGAGACTAGAGAGAGAGACCAGAGAGAGACTAGAGAGAGAGAACAGAGAGAGACTAGAGAGAGAGAACAGAGAGAGAACAGAGAGAGATCAGAGAGAGAGAGAGACCAGAGGAGAGACGAGAGAGACAGAGAGTGAGAGATCAGAGAGAGACCCGTGAGAGAGAGATCTGAGTTCCAGACCCAGAGAGAGAGAGACCAGAGAGAGAGACACACAGAGAGTTTATCAGAGAGAGACCTTTATAAAATGAATTTGAACGAGTTTCTTTGTTTTTAAGTTAGCCGTGTGTTAGCTTAAAGAGCTTGTTTGCTAATGTCTAGTTTCTTTAAGTTGATAATGTCATAAATAGGACCTCTCTGGCCCCACTTTGAAAGAACTGAATTAGTCAAATTTGTCACATTTCAGGCCAAACCCGTTTTTCTTTGTTGCAGTCTGAAAATAAAACTTCTGCAATGTTTCACACCTGCTCTTGTGTCAGTGTCTCGCTGAACTGTGACTTTAGAGAAACAAAAGGAGGATTTCCCCAAATTTTAGGAAAGAACCGCCCTCTCCACTTTTTGAACAAAACTTTGGTCTTATTGGACGAGCATGTATCACCAGGATGATTGACAGTTGGGAGGACCAATAGTCTATGATCCACCTGGAAGTAGAAAATCCTCTATACCTTTAAAACTGAGGTGTGTGAGATCAGAACCAGGATTTGGATCCCGGACTCAGACCCAGACCAGGACTCGTACCCAGATAAGAACCAGGACTCAGACCCAAACCAGGACTAAGACCCAGACAAGAGCCAGGACTTACACCAAAGAAGTATGTGTTTTTATATATTCTGCATTTCAGAAGATGTATTTTTTCAGCAGTTTTTACACTTTTGTCATCTTTATAAATGTCTATCATGTTTTTGTTTCACTTTTTTTAACAATATTCAAACTTTCCGATTTTTTTCCCAGTAAATCGACTAAATCCAAATGTGGCGCAGACCTCTCCCCAGACGCTTCTCTCTCTCGTGGTTGTGTTGCTCTGTCTTCATCACTACACAACTTTCCCAACACTGTTTTAGTTCCACATGAATCTGATCTTAATAAATGTGTGTGTGATTCCTCTGCTGTCCTGTAGGTGGCAGTAGGTCCCCACTCTGCGCCTGTGTCGGAGATGGATTATGGGCCATTAATAAAATAGAGTTAACATAAAAAGTCTGTGATATCACTCAGAAACATGAGACATTATCTTTACTGTGTTTAATGAATGTTTTAACGGTCAGATGCTGATTTATTATTAGCGGTAGTAGTATTTGGTATTTGGTGGTAGTTTTTGCATTTGGACTCAGAGTCCCCAGAGTGCATCAGACAAGTACATGCATGTAAATATAACCAGATAAAATGGTACAACAAACAATTGTCACAAAAACTAATTTACAAAAACAAGTTTCAATCCAAGTGAAGATCATTAAGATAAACTTTGTTCATCTCACATTGGAGACATTTACAATTTATGATAGCTTCTTTCAGCCATTAGTCTGAACAAAGTACTGTTAGCATGTTAGCATGTCCAGATGTCTGGGTCTCAGCTTCTGCCAGAGGGAGCTGGAACATGGCTTTTTTAGGGGCCAGAAGATAGATTGATACTTTATTGATCCCCGTCGGAGAAATCCAGGTGTCCAGTAGCAGCAAAAATGAAAAAATAAAATTGAGCATTCTAAAACCAAACAATAGCAATAATCAGCAACAGGCTCAGGTCACAGTAGCAGAGGTGGAGTAGCATCTGGGTGGAGTAGGACGGGTCACAGCAGCAGAGGTGGAGTAGCCTCTGGGTG